TTACAGAGCTTGTGCATGTTTTTGGTATAGACTCCTTCTCCCTTTAGTTTAAAACTTGTCTCTATATGCAAGCATAGCTGCAGACAAATATAATCCGTACGTATATGCGGATATGTTATATTGATCATTTATCGATATCCCTCTTGCTTTAGAGGCGCTGTCATTTGTTACCATATTGGCAATTATGGGTTACCATTTTCTTTTTATACCAAGATGGTAACAAAATAATAGCTAAATTGCAACGAAATATATTCAAAAAATGTTATGAAGAACTAGAATTTGTAAAGAAAGAAGCATAAGTTATGTGTATATATATGAATATTGTCTTGTTGATAATGCTTCTAAAGTTAACCGCAAATGGTTTGCTTGTGTTGTAATTTTTCAGGGGAATATTTCTGAATCTACGAGCAAGATCCTTGACCATGGCATTGTCCAAAGGGAAATGAACCAGAGAAGAACTTATTTCGTTCGCTCACCAAGTCAATGCTCGATGTTTGGTTATTCTTTTTAGAAACTTAAAACAAAACAAACCACCATAAACGATAAGTTTATGTACTAAATTAGTTATTTTAAAATTTTAAATTTATACTAAAAATAATTTAATATGTTTATTTTATGTTCTAATAGCTTGCAAATTTTTCATTGCATTACTTTCTGTTGATAAAATAATTATAAAAATAAAATTATTTTACATTTATAACTATCATAAATATAAAAAAAAAAACATTTTTAGTAATTTTTGAAGTAAAAGATTATAAAATATTTATGTTCATACATTCCTGCAGGAACTAAAAAAAATTTGATTAATTTATTACAATTTGTGTTATAATGGATTAAATTTATAGACCCAGACAAAAATATACAAGTACAAGACAAGAGTTTGAAGATCTTGGTGGGTATAGATGTTCAAAGTCAGCCTTGGAATACCTGTTCAAACTTTCAACTCTTAGACCTCTTCTTTACCAGTGTATGTGTGTTGTATGTTTATATTATATATCATATGGATACATATGTCAACGCGGTCCAGTTCTCTTCAAATCAATGAGCCGAAAGATTCATAACCCAGAACTCATACTTTGCAAACCCAGAAAATTTTGACAAAAACCTAACAAAGAAGATTGTGTTGTTTGCAGAGAAAATGGCTGCAGTTCAAGCTTCAAGTCTTTTGCTTCCATTGAATTCTCAGAGAAGGATCATTGTTGGTGCTTCCACTAATGCACCAAGAGTCAAGATCAGACCACTCTCCTTTCCGAAATTCCCAAGCACCAGAGACCTGTCTGATGAATTGTTTAAGAGAAGTCAATACAAGATTCCAACCACCACTGTCCATAATCTTGACAATCGCAGCTTGGTTTCTGGCATCAATGGCTCTCCCCTTGATCCTGTTTTGATTTCTAAGCTTTGTGCAGTCTTGGAAGCAGTGGCAGATAGAATAGAGATGCACGAAAATGTGGGTGTGCAGCGTGATAATTGGAATCATCTCATGTTAACTTCCATCAATGGAATGACTCTTACTGCGTCAACAATGGCAGCACTTGCAGCTGCTGCAGCAGGAGGTGACAGCTCCTCTCTGGCTCTCAAGATTGCTTCTGTGTCACTTTATTTAGGAGCAACTTTCTTGTTGATGATCGTGAACAAAATCCAGCCATCACAGCTCGGGGAAGAACAAAGAAACGCTGCTAGATTGTTCAAGCAACTCCACAGGCAGATCGAATCAAGATTGAAACTTGGTGTGGTTAGTTTAGATGATGTGAGTGAAGCAATGGAGAACGTTTTGGCACTTGACAAAGCATACCCACTTCCGTTACTGGGTTCCATGCTTGAAAAATTCCCTTCCGTCGTTGAGCCTGCAACTTGGTGGCCATTGAGAAAACACGAAAGAGGAAATGAAACGAAAATTGGGAACGTGAATCGGAAAACCGGGAATGGATGGAATAGGAAGTTGGAGGAGGAGATGAGAGGGATTGTTGGGACTTTGAGAAGAAAAGACATGGATGAATACTTGAGGTTGAGCAAAAAAGCTTTGAAGCTCAACAAAATGTTGGCAATTTCAGGTCCATTGTTGACCACCCTCGCAGCTTTAGGGTCTGGTTTTGTGGGAACAAGTCAAGGTGGTTCATGGGCAGCCATGGTTGCGATTGTTGCAGGTGTTCTTTCAACCTTGGTGAATACAATTGAGCATGGAGGTCAAGTGGGGATGGTGTTTGAAATGTACAGAAACAATGCTGGTTATTTTAAGCTCATGGAAGAGATTTTAGAGGCAAATATCAACGAAGAAGATGTTAGTAGAAGAGAGAATGGAGATGTTCTTGAACTGAAAGTAGCATTACAGTTAGGCAGGAGCCTATCAGAACTCAAGCAGCTTGCAACATCATCATCTTCTTCAACAAATGGAGATGATCGGAGTCACGCCGAAGAGTTCGCCAGCAAGATCTTCTGATATTGATAGCTCTCGATCGGATTATCCCGAAAATAGTTTCATCAATTATTTATATTATGTTTTGAACGAACAGTTAAACCTCAAGTATATATATGTATATTGATTTTCTAAGAAGAAGTTTTGTCATTGTAATTGCTAATTCAATTTAATTTTTATTTTAAAAATAAATAATTACATTTTTTAAAAAAATTAATAAATACATATTATATATATATATATATATATATATTTATTAGTGAATACAAGATTATTTATTTAATCACTGGAGCCATTTATGACGTAATAAATATGGAGGGTGGGAGGTAGTTTGTAGTTGTTGTATCTGTCAGATCCCACACGAGGGTGATATATCAAACCAAAACTTACGCTTTAAATTTTTATTAACGAGAGAATAAATTAATTTAAATGAAAAATAAAATAGTGAATAATTTAAATATAAATAAATAATTTTTATGTACTAAATTATTATTTTAACTAAATATGATATATTACATTTTTTAAAAAAAATACATAAAAAAAATGTAATATAGAAAGAGTAAGAACCCTAGATTTAAATAAAGAAAAAGGTGAGGCCTTTTTAAGCAAATCGAATGGAGGAATTATGAAACAAACTCGCATTTTCCTCTTCTTTTCTTCATTTCCTCTTTCGCTTCTCTGAACTTTCCGTCTCTGCGATCATCGCCCGTTACTCCGAAGAACCTTCAAAAAGAGTATTAGCTTATACCCGCATTGGGCGTTCAATCACCGCCTCTCGATTCGTTGACTTTGTTGAAGAAATCAGTTTGAATCTTTCATCTGTTTGCGAACAGAAAGAGAGGAAGAAGAAAAAGATGCAACAGTTATTGTTTTCGGTGATATTCTCGGAGATGGCGGTGATTATGGTGTTATCATTCAAGACTCCATTTAGAAAACTGGTGATCATGAGCCTGGATCGCGTGAAGCGTGGTCGAGGCCCGGTTATGGTGAAGACGGTGGCGGGAACCGTGTCTGTGGTACTCGCATCAAGTATCTACAGCATGATGAAGATCAAGAAACGGTGGATCGATGAAGGTGCGATGAATCCGACGGACCAGGTTCTCATGGCCAAGCATCTTCTTGAATCAACTCTCATGGGTAATTTGAGTTTCTTGCTTTTACATTTTGAGTTCTGCTTGTTTCCAATTTCGACTTTGAATTTTAGGAATGGTGCGTTCTTTTTGTCTTTGTTTATTGGAAATGTCGATTGAAACTATTTTGATTTGATGGGATGGAAAGTGGTTTGTGTTTGGATGGGTGTTTGTATGGTTTGAATTTTAAAAAGTGCAATGTGCAGACTTATGTGTTTAAGGAATTAGATAGTTTTTAGGATAAAATTAGGTTTTCAAGTTGTGGTAATTGATTGATTGGTATTAATTTTAAGCAACTTCATTGTCAAGCTTTTTGATCTGTGGTATTGACAGAAAGATGGAAAGTTTATTATTTTATTTCTGCTATTTAATTGTTCTATTAAAGTATTTTAGATCCAATTACTAGTAAATTAAGGGAACTAGTCCGTGTACTCTGTATGTCTATGCTCCTAAATATCATTGATGTCATCAAGGTTTATTAAGTCTAGTTCTTGTAATGCCCACTTACTAAGCTTTAGTATCTTGATGAGTTATAATACATTGATTTGAATGTTCTCGTTATTGCTTTGATTTGAATGTTTTCGTTATTGCTGAATCGTTGAATTGTTATTTTTCATCCTGTTAGTAATTGTGTAAAATGTGAAGAATATTTTAGCGTCAGAAGTCTAGTTGTTCAGAAGGTATGCCAATCCTCCAAGTTAGCATGCAGGGTAGAAGAACTTAACAGATTGAGTTATTGAGTATGAAGATGATTTGCCTTGGCTAGGCTGAGGTAGAATCTTAGTAATAAATAATATCATAATATCATTCTTTTTGAGATAAAAAACATGTATATTACATATATGGCACTAAGGGGGTGCCACCCCTATACAAAATATTTACATTTTTTTTTAGATAAAAGAGAAAAGTATTATTATGAACATACAAAATATTTATATGTCAATTAATACATCGAAAACCCTCCCGAAATGATATCCATCCCATGTACATCATGACCCAGAATTAGAGTCCCAAAATTATGTAACCACCTATCTCTAATTCTTTTAATATTCCTCACACAATCATTAAATGCTCTATTGTTTCTCTCTTTCCACACCATCCATAATATCATTCTTACAGTATCTATGTGAAGGATGTTGGATCCAAGCTTAAATTGAGAACTTATTATTGGATTGGTTCTTTCTTTTGGCATAGAGTTCTAATGGTTGTTACGAGATATGGTCAGTGAAAAATGCCTTGCCTGGGAAACAAATAATCTGTTTTGGGCTACTACTACAGAGTTAGAGACTTGATGGCTCGGAATGGTAGAGAATTCTTTCAGTGACTATAGTGAAACTTTGATTTTCAACTATAAGTAAATATTTTGTTGTAATGACACAAACTCTCTTCAGCTTGTTTTGATCCCTTTCTTTGAGAAGAGCAATGAGAGTCTCATAAAGTACGGTTCGATCTACGGCCTCTTTGGAAAGATGAAAAAAATCTGTTTAATGATTTTCTATCTTCATAATGCATTTAACACTTTAACAAATTTTAGGCTTTTTATGTACATCTCAAAAAATTTTCCATAAGCTAGTGGCTTACCTCTAGATATTGAATGGTTGGAATATGGTTCTGTTATTTGCTTTGACAACATTTGGATGGAACTGTCATTTCTTTAACTAATATTTTTGTTGTTATCAGTCTGGTGGTTCCTATTTTGACCTTTCAGCTATGTCTGGAACTGTAGTTTAACTAGGAGGAGATGTGAAGTCTATTATATTGACCTCATATGAAGCTCCACTTAAAAATGGAGGAATATATTCCATCAGTTTTTTTTAATGAAATTTGAAATTTATTATTGCAATTGTACATATACAGAGCCATTTTTGTACATTGAGGATTTTATCATATTATAGTTGAAGTATGTGTGAATTTACGAATAAACTCCACATAATTTCTGTATTTACTTCAAACACAGCCTTAGGTAGAAACTTAGTTTCAATTTTTCTCGGTTACATGGTAAATTATTTTTTGTCAGACAGCACCCAGTATTAAATTTAAGTTGCTTGCAGGTTCTGCCCTATTCCTTGCACTGATGATAGATAGACTGCACCATTATATGAGGGAACTGCGCATAAGGAGGAAGAGCATGGAAGCTGTAAAGAAGCAAGGGCGAGGTTTTGAGGATGGGAAGCTTGGATTGTCGGAGGACGTCAAGGTCTTGGAAGAAGAAATTAGCACATTGTGTGCACAGTTTAAGGAGCTGGAATCTAAACTTGAGGCTAAGACAAAAGAGGCAGCTACTGCAGAAGCCAGTGCAGTTGCACTAAGGAAGCAGTCAGAAGGTTTCCTTCTCGAGTATGATCGTTTGCTCGAGGAGAACCAAAACCTACGGAATCAGCTGCAGTCATTGGACTGGAGATCCTCACACTCAGTCAGCAAGAAGAATACTTGAGGAAATAACTGCTTCTCGCAAGAACAATTTTCAGTTTCCCTTCAATTCAACTTGTCTTTATCCAGGAGCTGCACTTTTCCTGCTTCCAGTGTCAATCATGCTGTTCTCTATGCAATTTTGTAAAAGTGAAAAAGAGTAATGCCAAATAGAGAAAAAAAAAAAAGGGAAATAGGATTGTACTTTTGTGTGTTGATATTCTTAAGGGCTTTAAATGCTGAGTGGAGGGGAACAATTTTCCATGTTGCTGCTGCTTTTTGTTCTTATTCTTCTGAATGTAAAAATTAACTGGCAGATTGCAGAAAGCAATGGAGAAAATATAAAGAAGATGGTATTTGGGTTGAAGAATGTTCAAAATTAGGCTAAGTACATTCTTATTGTAACACTTTTTTGTATTCTTCAAACATTTTCTATCTTAATCATTTGTTCAAATACTTAACCTGTTTAGTTTTAACTTAACGAATTCCTCATTGGGAATTGTTAGTCCATTAATTTTTCAGTTCTAAACATGTACAATTTCAAGTCATTATGATGATGTTAAAAAGCTTTTCTGAGTTTGATCATAAGCAGCAAGCATAGAATGCGGCAGACTGAACTTCATATTCCTAAAATCAAGATTTCTCCATAGGAAATCATGATAACATTTACATGGCAGCCATGCATTTCTCTTCAGCCTACTAATACTTCTATGGGTACAACATCGATTTACAGTTTGTATAAACTTTTTCAGAACAACAATAGCAATAGCAATAGCAATAGCAATTATCGCAACAACGAAGTCATAGGACCTCCTGCCACAGCTTGTAGATGTCTTAGCTTCATGAACACTTGTGAGCTCATTGGCTTGTAAAATTTCTGGTTCATTGATGTCATAGCAGCTACTTCTGACAGTAATCCAACTTTCATCCCATGACCAATTTGGGAAATTTGATGTCAATTTCTTGATTCTTTCCATCGGATAACTCAAAAAACTTTCATGGGTTTCTTCCATTGTTGTCTCTGTATCCTCAAATGAGTCCCAAATGTCCAGAGTACTGGTGGGTGTAGCTGAAAAACACTTGGTTTCCTTCATTGGATTAGTGGGTTGAGTCACAAAATCATGTTTGAGAAGTTCACTGGCTGACCATCTCTCCTTTGGATCTCTCCTCAAGCACTTGCTCAAAAAATCCTTACCCTCTTTAGACATGGAGTTGGGTATTTCAGGCACATCACATGAGAATCCAATTCTATAAAGAACTGATACCGGGTCCGAAACATTAGTCCACGGAGCTCGTCCTGTTGTCATCTCTATCACCGTGCATCCCAGAGCCCATATATCAGCTGGGAAGTCTTGTTGCTCTCCACGTGCCACCTCGGGTGCCATATAGACCGGCGTTCCGGCGATTGACGTAATCCTTGTCTCCCAATCAGAATTTGACACGTCATCAATCCACTTGGCACAACCCAAGTCGGCAATTTTCAGTCCTTCGCTTGTTACCAAAATGTTCTTCCCCTTGATGTCACAATGTACTATTCCATTGGAGTGCAAGTGCTTGAGGCCTAATAGAATTGTCTTCGTGTGCGATCGGATCGCGGTCTCATCTAGCCGACCCCCGTTCTCTCCGATTGCATCAGTGAGCGCGCCGCCCGGTGCATACTCCATGAAAAGATTGTACAGAACCTTACCATTTTCCTTGGAGATGTCACATCCTCTGTATGCTACAACTTGAGAACATGGCCTCAATGAAGAGAGCATCCTCTGCTCCCTCTTGAGGAATTCCGAGTTGGAAACCTCGGCTGACTTGACCGCGAAGACCTCGCCGGAGACTAAAGCCGTCGCGGTGGAGATGGTGGCCGTTGAGCCTCGGCCAATGGCCGGACCTCTCGTCCAGGTTCTGGCCATTTCTGCAGAAGGGTGCGACAATTGCCGGCACTATATACTGCAAAAACATGGCACTTTGGTTTGGTAGACTTTCGTTCTCTCTTTAAATAATTAATTAATTAATTATTTTTTAATTTTACGAAAAAGTTATAACCTTTCAGCCAATGGGAGGCCGCCGTTTTGGTCTCTTAACAGGAGAGGGCTCCACGTGGCAAAAGGAGGATGAGTTGGGAGGTTCAGCCGAATGGGGCGGCGGCGTTGCTTAGCTTGGCTAGGAATCAAGAATCATTTTGTCTCACATGGTGGCACGTGCTATCCCCCCCGAGTCACGTGCGCCGTATGAATACAACACACTGTATGTAAATCTATTGCATTAGGAGATGGATTAGGGTTTAATTATGTTTATATCTAAACCTAGACTGATTAACAAGCTGGCTCTAAAATTAATTACCATTTAATTATGTTTTATTATCGTTAATTTTTTATCATATTAATAGACTAATAATAACCAATAGTTAAGATAATAATAATTAATTAATTAATTAATCAAAGTAATATCGAAATATAATTTTTTTAAAAAATAAATTATTCATGTACAAAAAATAATAATAATAATTAATCCCTTAAAATTCATTATTATTAACTAATAAAACCCTAATTAGCTGTTAATAGTGTGAGTTGTTATGTTAGGTTAGGTTTAAATAGTTAATGAATAAATACTTTTAACTTAATTAAGTAATTAAGTAAGGATTAGAAAATAAACCCTTTAATAATGATGGTACATAAGCCCATTATTGGCAGCACATAGTTGGTGATGAGTAGTGCATGTACGAATCAAAAATAATTTTTAAAAAATAATCTAATTATTAAAAATTGAAATTAAATTACCATTTTAATTTAAATTTTTTATAATATTATTGGGATTTTTATAAATTAAAATAATAATAATAATACCCAATGAATATTTTCTAATTTTAAATTTTTACTCGTGTTATAAATTTAAATTTTAACTCTTACTTCAAAATAAAATTAAATTATCGATCTAGTCTTAATTTAATATTTTTTTTTTAAATAATTCGATACGAGTTCTGTAAAAATAAAATTTTAATGATCTTCGACAAAAAGAGATAGAACATAACTATATATATATATCCACCGAGGGGACATGGTAATTAGTCTTAGTTGGGTAATGCTATGCATAATTCACATTCTAGTTTAAGTGGCTTTTGGGTGCATTTCATTATTTGGTCACTTTATAATATATGTATTTAGTGGTCCTATCTTAAGTGATTATAATAAACATACATACATATATATATATATACACATATATGTATATGGATATTTATATAATTGATTGGTGGTGGTCCTTGAGAAGCAAAAACCCAATTATTATTAAGGTAACTTTGCTTCATGTGCCACCCACCATGACACCATCGTATGACCAATGAGGGGAAAAAAAGAGCTTTGGGTTTGCTTATAATTGGCTTCACTCGTATCATTTTGAGTAGCTTATACTGTTTCAGCCATTATTTACATCATCCTACACTTTGTTCTGTTCTCTTTTATCATCATTTGCTGTTTAATTAATTATATATATAAAAATGAGAATCTAATTCAAGCTCAATTTCATCACGAATTCATTCATTAATATATCAAAATACAATTCATGGTTATAAAATTAAAGATATATGTGAAATTAAGAATTTTAAATATTGTAAAACAGAATATGATACAACGAGATAGAAAACATATAAATAAAGACACAAAGAATAAGTTACTTACTATTAACGATCAAAACAAACCATTTTATTCTAACATTTTGATTTCTTTAATTCGTAACAAATTCATATCTCCCCAAATAGTCAGACCGCTCTATCGCTAAACTACCCTAAAACAACATGAGATTCGATCTTATAAAATTCAATTCTAATTCTCAACCTACGACCAATCTGAAATCAAAATTTCTTTCGTAACCCCCGGGACGTGTTCGTAGTGGCTTTTTTCGTACCTCATTTCGTAAAAAAAA